TTTTAAAAAAGAATTTTTGTTTTTTTTTTGTGGCATATGATACCACTACCCTTATTTCTAGCAATATGCCTTTGACATATAAATGCAATAATGTTTGCTGCATTGCAAATATAAACATAATCACATGGCTCTTTCAAGTTAGTTTAACAAATTATTTCTGAGAACACATAGTCTAGATTATCAGTAACATTCTGGCTCTTCTGGGTGAGGCTTTGTCAGTACATAATTTATGATGATGGGATCCGAGGGGTGCTGGAATTGTGGTCTTGGAAAAATTGTTACTGTCTTTAGTGTTCAAAAGGACAGTTTCTTTGCATTTGTCTCTTCTCCCTTGTAAGAACACCCACCCCATGTCAGTCATCAAACTGAGTGCTTTTGTCAGATAAGGGAACTAAGACTGAGACACCAAAAATGTCATGCGAATTATCTAATCACTACTGTTCAAAGTGTGGTCTGAAGACTGAGTCTAATCTGTGATCTGTTGATCTGTGATCTATGTGTTACTGGTCTACATGTGACAATCTTAAGTACAGAAATTAAGAATAAGCACTAAGGAATATTGATAACAATTTGACATTTCTGCTTTATCCAAGTACATAGCCATTTCTTCCTAGCAATCTATGTTTATTGCTTTTTATGTTTTGTTGTTCATTTTTACAAAAATATTGGTTTGTAATATCTTGGGGCAGGGTGTGGTGGTCCTTTAGTCACAGATAGAAGTATTGATCTACGATCAAGAGAATTATTACAGGAATCTCAGAACTATAACTTATACTTCCTGGGCCATTTTCTTTTCTTTCTTTTTGTCCCCTGCCCCTATATCTTTCTTTGTGCCTTCCTCCATATTGATAACCATGTTTTAATTGGAATATTAGGTTTATATTTTCTATGGAGAAAATTTAGGGATAGTCCCACATTTTTTTTATAAAGTGTACTTTCAGATTCCAATGTCCTATGAGATAATGTGTCTTTTCATGTGAAAGTCAAGCAACGGGTGTCTCAAAGCTTTTTACTTGGAGTATCTAGAGAAAAGGGTAATGTAATTTGAATGTCATCTGGTTCTTTTTCTTGACTTGAGAAGAACTACATAGACTCTGTCAGAAGTAATGTCATCTCAGAGGTGTGACTTTGGGTTATTTTGTGTAAATGTCTCCAGAAGCTCCTTCTTACTTTTTAATACAATTTATAGAACTGGTTTATTTTGAACCTGCTGATCACTTTTTTTTTAACACTGAAGGAGATAAACAAAAATAATAGTACTATGGAGAAAATAAATACACATATATTTCTTTCATTGAATAGGGCTTATTAATATCCTGGAATATATGTATGCTGTAAACTTCTAATAGGCTTAGAATAGGATTTCTTTGCTAAAAGAAAATGTGTCTTACAGAAGGTGAGGAATTGATATAAATATAAATAAAATAAAATATAAATAGTAAGAAGGGGTAACAGTGTTGTTTGTTTTAGGCAAAGTGCTAAATGGAATCAAAGTTTAATTTAACGATTTTACTGTTAGTTCTATTAGACTGGGGGCGATAAAATGATTAATAAGCTAGGTCACTGCCTCTCATGACCATATGGATTAATAGAGGAAAATGAGAGAAATATCAACCCTAATTTAAGGCAGACTGGTATAGTAACTCCTATAAGAAATACAGAAGGAGAAAGAAGATGATAATTATGATTGGAATGAAGAAGACCTGCTAATAGGATGGTATTTGAGGCACATTGGGGAGAATTAAGAAGGTTCTTGACATGAAACAAAGATGTAATAGCATTTTAGATTTGTGCAACCTGGTGAAGGGATACATTGGTTAAGACTCTTAATGGGGGGGGGGAAAGGAACTGAGCTCAGACTAATTTAGGCAAAGAAAGGGGGGTTTATGAGTTGGCCTGTGAGAGGATAGTTGGCATCTTGCTTCATGCCTACCTAGATCCAGGTAGGTCCTCCAGCTACCTTGAGTTTTCTCATTCACATCTTGCTTTCTATGTGTAGCTGCTCCACCTCCTCTGTGTATGTGAGAGAGATGCTCCAGTTGGTCAGGACTTGGTCATTGTCCAAAAAGGAATGTGTAGTGGGTGGTTAGCAAAAGCTGCTGCTGCTGAACCACATGCAGCTTGTTGGTGGTGCCATCCTCCAAAATTCTGAGAGGAAGCAGTTCAGAGCAGGCAAATACAGATGTCCACTACACACTAGGCTAAATGAAAGTATGACTAAACTTATATGCCGTAAAGCCTGTAAAAAGAGAAGGGAAAAAGGAATGACTGAGATAGATAGTAGTCTTAGGTATATGGTCAGCAGTGGGTATTTCATTAGATGAGAGTAATTACTTTAAAGCAGTGAGTTGAAACCATTATTTAGCATGTTAAAATTTGAATTGATTCGTAGAGAGAAGAGCTGGAGGGAAAAAAAGTTAGAGCTAACTCTCTAGACTGGTTAATTTTACTTATTTATTTTTTTTGCAGTGCTGAGAATTCAACTCAGGGCCTCCAGCACATGAAGTAGGTCCTCTACCTGTGAGTCACATCCCTGGCCTATCGTTTTTTTTTTTTTTAGTTTTAAATTCTAATTTATTAGTGTACCACTTTAATCTTAAAAAAGAAAAGAAAATGTAAAAAACAAAACAAAATAAACAAAAACAGCTCCAAATATAGTTTTATATCATGTTTTTAGGAAGGGAAACTATTCCTTTTTAGACCCACCCCACACCCCAACTTCAAAACATACCATTTAATTGTCTTGGTCATGGTTATTTCCAAGATGAGATTTGATATCATACTTCTATTCCTTCTGTTTATCAGGAAACCTTTGCTTTCCCTTATTGAAGGAGGTTGGTCTGTTTGATCTTGGTGTGTTACTTAGAGTATTCTTCATCCTCCTCTTTGCTTCTGGAGGTATTTCCTCTACTCACTATCTTTACCTTCATTGAAAGCTGCTGCTACTGAGAGGGTTTTGGAGCAAGAGTTGGGAAAGTTTCCTTAGGCTTACCCAATCAAAGTTTGATAGATATGACTGATGCTTTCTTTGTTATATGACTACTTGTGGCAAATCCAAACTTGGAGATCTCTGTAGGCTTTCTTGGGAGGTCTGCTGCTGTTTCTTCAGCCGATCACTTCTCAGAGCTGCATCTGGCACTTTCCCCTTCATTACTGGAACAAACAGTCTTAGCTTCTTCAAGTCTTTTGGTGGCCCCAGCCCACTGTGGCTCTGTAGGCTTCTCTTTTCCTGCCGTATCATTCACCATTGTCCCTGAGGTGGCTATCTTGAACCTTTCTTAAGGTCTGTTTTTCAAGTGAGTCAAAGTTTTTTTTTTTCCTTATTTAAATTGTTTGCTACTTGGCTATCCATTTCTTGCTCTTCTTAGCAAGTGTATGAGTGGAAAAGATTAAATTGATTAAAACACACCCATCACTTTTACTTTTTGGCACTGATATAAAAAAGCACAAAATGTATAGATTAGAGATAAATAAAAGTTAGACTTTTAGATTATTTGAATTTAACTTGTCCTGAACAGACCTGTTTATTATTATTATTTTTTGAATTTGTATGGTTTTATAAAAATCAGTCAAGGGGCTGGGGTTGTAGCTCAGTGGTAGAGTGCTTGCCTCGCATGCGTGAGCCCCAGGGTTCGATCTTCAGCACCACATAGAAATGAATAAATAAAAAAAATAAAGATATTGGGTCCATCTACAACTAAAAAAAAATTAAAAAACAATCAAAGTAGTTCACAAAGATACATATATTATACCAAAGTTAAGAAATGAGTTAGGAACACAAGGGCAGAGAGAATGAGGATAGATAAAAAACTAGAGTGAAGCTAGAATTAATATTTGTATCTCAAATGAATGTAATGAGTACTCTAGCTTTTGCTGGGGAACATACATATTTTTATCAGCCAATGCAAAGAGGGAGAAAATGAGCAGGTAAAGGATTTATAGCATTCTTTTTAAAAAATATTTTTTAAGTTGTACATGGACACAATATCTTTATTTTTTTATTTTTTATGTGGTGCTGAGGATCGAACCCAGTGCCTCATACATGTGAGGGAACTGTTCTACCACTGAGCTATAACCCCAGCCTTTATAGCATTCTTGATATAAAAGTAAATCAGATACTCAAGAGATATACAACTAATACTGGGATCCAGTGAAATTTCTTTCAAGGAGACTAAGAAAAGGATGTCTTGGAGATTTCGTAGTAAATAAACTCTTAAAAAGTATATTCAATATTGCTTTGGAGTTTTTTCTTAAAAAAATTTGTTAATGTAGTTATATAGTGTACACCAAAACACAGTTTAGGACACATCAATTTATGTGGGGCAAAATAACAGTCTAGATCAGGAGTTGGCCATCTATGACTTTTGGAGCAAATCTGGCCTGCTGCTATTTTTATAGTAATGTTTGGAATGAAACACAACCACATCCACTTGTTTACAGTTTATGACTGCTTTCATTTTACAGCAGCAGCACTAAGTATAGTCATGTGGCACATAGAGAGGTTTTGTAAATGATAGACCATGTATAAGATAGGGCCTAATGATATAAATGTCTTAGTTGGTGTAAGGATACCTATCATATTTGCACAACAATGAAATTGCTTAACAATATAATTCTCAGAAGGTATCCCTGTGGTTAATACATGAAGTTTGACTCTAGTTGTGACAGAGATCCTGTGTCCCACAAAATCTCTAGAGTATTTTCTATCTGACCCTTTGCTATAAGGATTTGCCAACCTCTGGCCTACATACACAATTCTCTAATAGTTTGGTTTAAAATTAAGACAGCATATGAAATATCTAGAGCAGAGGTCTCAAACTGGTAGGCCAAGTTTCAAATTTGGCCTATAGATGATATATTTTGGTTAAATTAGTATTTGTGTTTTAGAAATTTGTGCCAACCAAGAAAAATTCAGAATCTTGCTTTTTTTCTTTTTTTGGTGGAGGGAATTGAATGAACTGGCAATACTGAGTTTGCATTGTATTTGTCTTTCTCTTTAGATCACCATCTCTTTCCAATTTGTATTCCATACTACTCTGTTAGCTCCCAGTCCTCATCTTCTTCTACTCTTTTGGTCACTGAATTAGAAAAATAACCAAGGTATGTGTACTTTAGCTATGTTCAAATATTTTATTTGTTGTACTAATACTTGAAAGTAGAGAAATTTAGGATATATTCCCTGACTACTGCTTGGAGTGTACTTTTGTGTTAGTACCTACTAGGTCATACATGTGTTTAGCCAGCAGAATTGGAAGTACGGTTGATATTCTCCTAAGATGAGAGGCTTGGCAAATATTTGTGCCTACATTTAAGACCAAAAAACCCGTATATGAAAATGGGCTAAAAGATTTGGATTAGAGGCAGGCTAAATCTTCAGCAGAAAATAATTCTAGTTCTATCCTAACAAAAAGACAAATGGATTGTTGAGGACTAAGTCTCTTAAATTTACTACTTTGGCTCATCAGTTGTCCTACTTAACAAAAGAGATAATGGGTAAAGTAACCATCTTATATAAGGAATGTAGGGCATACAAGAAAATATTTATCAGATTAAGAAGGCAGAGAGAAGGGTTTGTCATGGAAGAGGAGCTGGAAGTAGAGAAGAAAGAGAAAAGATAGGACTTAGTGTACATCTGGTGAGTACAGGCTTGAGAAGGCCTCAGGGGGAAATTCATTCATCAAGGATAAGTCCTGGCACATAGGACGTGACCAGTATTAGCTCTTGGCTATTATAGTTACATGTAATATATAATGATTGGCTATTCTGTGGGTAGAGACAAGGGAGAGTAAGTACCTAGAGGAAAAATGGAGGAAAACCAATGGTAGATTGTGTCTGGGCTGAATCCTCATTCTTAGATTCTTTTCTCAAGGAAGTGATAGCATCTTTAAAGAAAATGGGAAAGTGGATAAGAAAGATCAAGGCTGTTGAACTTGAAGGAGTATTGAGAAAATTAGTCAAAGCTGTTTGAGAGGGAGCCTGAGATATGGAATAGAGATATGGAGAATCACTGATTTATTTGCCTAAACATGTTGAATGTCATGAAAAAGATAAGACTTGCCAGAGAATGTAGAAGGAGATGGATTAGGATGTTCAGAGTGGAGACATCTGCCCCAACTTTCCTCACAGGTAAATCAGGAGAATTGTCACTTTTGTTTCTAAACATATGATCCAAAGTTACAGAATTTTAGAAGCCATTAATTACTTTCACTTAGTATGATTATATAGCCACAGGATACACTTTATCTTGGTAGTTTCTTTGGCATTCATTTGAATGCCAGTATGATCAGCCTTTCCTTTCTCATTGTTTTTTATTGTCTAATTATTTTCTTCTTTGTAATTCAGGCATCATGTTATGTTACTATGCCTTGTCCTAGCAGCTTAAATAATAATAAGCGGTATTCAAGGGAAACCAAATATAATTCTAGTATCTGCATGTAAGGACTTTAAAGAAGATAAAATTTATATTTCATCAGCTCAAGGGTAACTTGTACAGTTGTGGTTAAGTGCATAGATAACTATATCATAAATACCTTGGTTTAATCCTGGTTTGACGTTGTGACTTTGGAAAAATTATTTTCTCTCTAAGCCTTAGTTTCTTAATTTATAAAAATAGGAACAAGTATAATATCTCATAAGATTGTAGTAAAGATAAGGAAGGTCCTGGCACATAGGATATACCCAATATTAGCTCTTGCCTATTATGATGTTGCAAGATATTTGAACATAGGTAATTTAAGTTATGTTGAACAATATTGCATTTAATCATATCATAGCTACTTACATATTACACTGTATACTGTAAGTACGTAAAAGATGAGTTGATAACACTAGGATTCTTTTTTGTAATTGAATATTCAGTTTTTTACTGTAACCTAACTTTCATGTGGTGATTCATATGTGTCATGGCCTATGTTAAATTTCAGTGATCTTTTTATTTGGATGAGTTGTATTTATCTTCCTGTTTCTGTCAGACGATGGGAAAGTAATAAAATAATAACAAGTGAATTTTATCAAAGTGAACTTGAGAGCCATTAACTGGATAATTTGTTAGAAAAGTGATAATGAGATAAAAATGTGAATTATCCTGAAATTCAGAATGGCTGCATTTTTTGGTTGTCTAATACTGATGTCTTCAAAGTTTTCCTTTGTATGGTAAAAATGAATGAGAGATAAGCATTTTTCTTTACATGGACAATATTTGGGTTTTATGTAGTAATAGATGCTTTATTTTAAAATTGTTCCCTGATATATCTTTTCTTGCTTTGTTTTGCTAATCTTAAACTTTATTAATAGGGTGTCTTATTGTCACAAACTATTTCTTCTCTATTGACATTATTTAAATCCTCTACTCTTTTTATTTTATCTAATTTTTATTTTAAAATATATTTTTAAAATATATTTTAATGGTTAGAAACCTATGGACCTGTATGATAATTCTGTAAATTAATTATATTCCTCTGAGATGATAAAAGCATTGTTAGCTTATTATTTAGTATAGAAATATGAAGGTTGAACAGCTATTTAGTGCAAAATTATGGTGGAGGAATGTGTCCTAAGGAGTTCAAACACTAATGTTAATTTTGCATTTTATAAGCTTTCAGTCAAGCTATTTGAACACATACACAATTTTTGTTAGATAAGGAAAGATGACTTAGGTGTGGTTTGGGTAAAGTACATCTTCTTAGATTAATTTTTCTATCGATGTGGCTATCAGTGCCCACAATAGAGATTTAGATACAGCTTCAGCAACTCAGGTTAGCAGGGTGTTCCCTATCCTCTGTAACATGCTAGAAAATATAGCAGAAAGGTTTCAGTTAACGTTATCAAATTACTGTGTACCTGAGATTTGACTAATAAAATTTCTAGAAGCTTTATAAATTCAGTCCTTGATCTTATACTTAAAAACTAATTCAGCAGTAAACTTTTTTGCCATATCAAGTATATTTGTTGAAATCTAATTGATATGTCACTAATCGGTGTTTTAGACAAACTCCAAAGGCCATCCATCAATGTAATTGCTAATATATTAAGTGCATCTGTACACATTTACATTGTAAAATTATATATTCTTAGGATTTAAAAATCAACAATACAATTTTTTCCTTAATATCTTTATATTTAAATTTTTTTATTCTAGTGTCTGACCTACTAAAGCTAGAATAATGCAGAACAGCTGTTTTTATAAGTGATAATATGCCAAAGAAAGTATATCATAAGTGATAATATGCCAAAGAAAGGAAGGTGGTAATAAAAGAAAAATAATTTTCCTCAGCATAAGCTTTGGCGATTACTGCTAAGTGCATAGCCGTCTTACATTTTTAAAGCATGACTAACGCAGATACTGAATTTCTCACAATTGTGCAAATTAACCATGTATGCTATCTTTACCATATGATTTGACTTTGAACATGTCTTGAGATGTTGCTGTTTCCTAAACATTCCTTAGATGGCACAAAATGAAAAATGTTTTTTTTTTTTTTTTTTTCTGAACAAAAACATGAACAAAGAATTTTTTATAAAGTATGCAAGTCAGTTATTTAATTATGAAACCATCATATGCAGCCATTATCTGGTCATAAATTTCCTTTTGGAAAATATACAGTTTTAACAGATGCTGTTATTGACTACAAAGCAAAAGGAAAAACAGAAAAAAAAAGATACATTCATTTTCCCCCTCCACAACAGTTACACAAAAATGCTTTAGTATTTATTGCATGTAAATCATATGCAGTTGAATCAATTTTCAATGTACTTTGCCAGGTCTATGACGAAAAACTGAGATTATATTTTACTTTTTACTACACATTATTTTATCATTGCCAACTAATGTTGGGACTATTTAAACAGTGAAAAATTCTCTGGCATGGTATTTAGAATTTGTTATTAGGGTATCATAGGAAGGATGTACTGAGTTGGTGGTAATTGATTTATCCTCATCATACTGAACCTCCCACTCTTCTTCCACTTTGTCCTCCCTTGGGCAATAATCACAGGGTCGAGCTGCCAATCTGTAGACTTAATTTTTTCCAGCAGTACCATCTGGCTCCTTGGCACCAGAAGTTATATTGGTTCTTTGTGGTTGCTACTGAATTTGTCATATTGTTAGACAGCTTATAGGATGTTCTTGCTATTTGATCCTAATTTTCTTTCAAGTAATTATTGATTATTATTTAGAGAATCTTCCTGTGCTATTTCTGAGAGCATGGCATGATTTTATTGTGAAAACAAACAAAAAATAGAATGTACCTAAACAAGTCGTATGTCAGCCTGGAGCTTCTTTTCCCTGTATTGTTTTCTATTGAGTTCTCCTTTTCAGGAGAGATTAATTTAAGTTAATCATGAAGGTTTTCTGTCTCATTTTAATCCTGTATACCTTTTACAAAATCATTCAAATGTTCATTTAAAATCCTGTTATGAGTGACATCATGTCCCAATTGTGGCAAATTTATAAATCTCTATCAATGGCCAGATAACCTTCTAACATCCAGCAGTATTTTATCCATGTTTAAAGATGGCTGCCTGTGTGAATCTTGTATTTTGTAGATGAGGTGATTTTACTGTCATGTCTAATAACAATCATAAACAGTTTAAAAGTAGAATTGTGAAAAGTTCATCTGAGTTTTAGTCATTAAAAAGAATTTCCAAACATATATTTCTACAAACTTAAGTAGTTTTTCCATCTTACATTGTAAACTAGACGTTTTTGATGAAGGCAAAAATTTATTTGCTCATTTGTTTCTAAGAAAAGATCATAAACAAAAATAATTTCTTAAGCTCTTAAAGAATCTGCATAGAAAGCAGATCACTTTGAAAAATATTTATTTTTTTTT